ACCTGTGTTTTACAGACTATCAGTATAAAAGAAGGTTTTCCGTGGCCTTCAATGCTGAGGTGCTCTTGGGGGACCTTTCCACACCTGCCCAGTGCCCAGCAAGGTCATGCTGCTGTGCAGCTTGTGCAAGGGCCCCCAGCTGAGGTTGTGGTTCTGTTCCCTTTACAGGTCATTACTCCCTACACTTTGACGCCTTCCACCACCCCCTGGGTGATGCCCCCCCAGCCCTCCCTGCCCGGACCCTGCGCAAGGTAATGTACTGAAGCAGCTGTCGTACCGCTTCATCTGCTGTAGGATCACCCCTGGGGCTACAAGAGGAACCTGCCTCCCCTGCTCCTCTGTCCTGAGAGCCTAAGCTGGCAGAAGCTGGGGGTGGCCAGAGCCACACTAGAGCAGCAGGCGACCCATGCATCCTGCCACCAATGTGATGAGGACAGGGAGATGAGAGGGTCTTGTGGACAACACTTGACAACAAGAGAATGTGGGTGGGGAGCGTTGAGAAACTTGGGGGTCTCAACACACTGTAGTCCCGTAGCTAATTCAATGTCCCTGTGGTGGGTTATAGAGTTTTTACAACTACTGCCAACTGAAAATGAGAAATATCAGGCACTAAAATTTTACAAAAAAATTCAAGAGGTAAAATTCGAATCCTGTTGTTAGCTTGATTTTTCTGCAAATGGGAAAAGACTAAGTCTGTGACAGATTTAGCAACAGATTAATATTCACTTGATCTGTGACCCATCAGTTTCCTTCTGCCTGATGACCCAGCCCTGCTGTCAGTCAGTAACTCAGACCACCCTGACCATACCATAACCTGGGACTTGGCCCCAGGTGCATCAGTGCCCAGCAGCCAAGGCAGGGGCATTTATTGGCCCTCAGAAATAATAGTGATTCTGGGCTCCACTAGCTTGCTTTGGGGGGGGGGGATACTTAGAAACAGATGTGAAGCTGCTGAGATGTTAAGGTTGGCTGATAAGCAGACTCTTGGTCTCCACACGGCAGGCCAGCCCACCTGTCTAGAGGGGTTCTAACTTACCCACCCTTTCCTTCGCACAGTCTCCTCTCCACCCCATCCCAGCCTCCCCTACAAGCCCCCAATCGGGCCTGGATGGCAGCAACTCTACGCTGTCTGGCAGTGCCAGCAGCGGTGTGTCCTCCTTGAGTGAGAGTAACTTTGGGCACTCCTCAGAGGCCCCGCCTCGAACAGACACCATGGACTCCATGCCAAGCCAGGCCTGGAATGGCGATGAAGACCTTGAGCCACCCTACCTCCCTGTCCACTACAGCCTCTCTGAGTCTGCTGTCCTTGACTCCATCAAGTCCCAGCCATGCCGAAGCCACTCGGCTCCAGGGTGTGTCATCCCTCAGGACCCCATGGACCCACCTGCGCTGCCACCCAAGCCCTACCACCCCCGCCTGCCGGCCCTAGAGCACGATGAGGGCATGCTACTGCGGGAGGAGGCTGAGAGGCCAAGAGGCCTGCACCGAAAGGCCTCACTGCCTCCTGGGAGCGCCAAGGAGGAGCAGGCCCGCATGGCCTGGGAGCACGGCCGAGGGGAACAGTGAGGAGCAGAGGCAGCTGCACCACCACCTTCCACGAGCAGCTGGCCCAGGCACTCCAGGTCTGAAAAGCAAGTCCCTCCCAGGGAGCTAGAGGCTTGGCACTCAGGAGAGAACCACCAGAGTCTCTGTTCTACTGCCGTGAACTCATGTATTGCCATGTCCAGAGGCCACAGCAGCATGAAGGGTTGTGGCTTCTCTTTTATTTCATTTTTTGTTTCCATTTTTCTGGGTTTTCCTTTACGCAGTAGTTGCTTTCTTCCTCCTGCAGTTCCAGACCCCATGGAGCTATGTGGAGATATTGCACAGACAGAATGCTTTGCAGCATTGCAGAGTCCAGGAGGTGGAGCCCAGGCCCTCCTTTCGGGGCAGAGATGGCGAAGAATGGAAATTGCACTAGGGACCTCTTCCTTGCTGTATGACAGAAAAACTCATGGTTGCATTCAGGGATTGCAAGGACCACATGGACTACATGTCACAGGTGGACAAAGGGGCCACAAGCCGTTTTGCACAAATGCTTGCCCACCTGCCCACTCTTACCTAGGAGTGTGCAACTGAGGGGCTGGTCAGGCACATGACTGGCCTAACTGCATGCCCAGGGCACACTGCCAGGCTCCCATGGGCCAGCCTTGTCTCCTATCCCACTTTGGACGTTAGTCGTCACTTTTCGTTTGGACCTTTCACTCCTTTCCACTCAAAACACCTCATGATCTGCAGAAGCCTCCCTGGCTCAAATGGACTTGCAAGGGTTATCTCTCATGCCCTGGGGCTTGAGTTAAATGAAGCTGGAAGGGCTCCCACTCCTGCAGGGAGTTAGACCCCTTCCCTTGTAGTAAAAAGAGCTGGTGTAAGAGTGAGGCTGGTGTGTGGCAGGAGCCAGAAAGCCTCAGAGCTTTCACAAGTGGCCCCAGACACCTGCCATTTAGCGCCTGAATCAGGGATTTTCAGCACTACCTCTGAGCCTTGGGGTTGGCTGCCCAGCCTGGCTTCCAGGCCCTGAGGATGTGTGGTCAGGTTCAGCAAGCTCCTGGGTTTAAAACATTTTAAAAAAAAATTAAATTAAAAAAGAAAAAAAAAAAGATGGAAGAAAACTAATTTTGGAAGCAGAGAGCCACACAGGTAAAACCGTTATCTTCCAAGTAGCCAAGTACTGAACCCTCCACTCCACACCCATAGGGACCGCCACTCAGGGTTCAGGGCGGGCAGGACAGCTTTTCACACCTCCCCAGGCTGTTAGGCAGGGCACAGTGGTGACTAGAGGAAATTCTTTCATGTCAGGGCACTGATTTTTCTCTTGGTATTATGGTGGGGGTATGGTAATATTTCACCAGGGTGCTTCTAAGTTACTTTAAAATGTCACCTGTCCTGAGACAGCTGTTCTCCTTTCCTTTGCTTACATCCCCAGCAGTGATGGCCATAGACTGCCTCCTCCTTGGTGAGCAGGTATGTTGCTCCCTTACTCCCTTCAACTTGTTGGCCTTCTGGCCTCCTGTGGCCAAGTTCTGGGCCCAGCTGCTCATCCTTTCTCCGCAATTCTTTCCCAAACAGAAAATTCCATGGCCAGGGTGTATTTCTCTTATAAACAAGTTCAATAGAACTGCCAGCAAATAACCTAAGGAAAAAGATAGAAGGCCCATTTTCCTCCAGAGTATGTTGGGGTCCAGGTACAACAGTGCAGGCTTTCTGATCCCCTCAGGATCATTCAAGCAGAGACTGCTGGAGATACAGGCCAGTCCAGGGGTCCCTGGCTCCAAGGGCTCGCACACCTGCTCCTGAGCCTAGGTCTATTGGTAAGCTTGTCTCTGGACCGTCTGGGTTCACAGGTGTGAGGGTCCAAGTCTTGCTTTGAATGTGATTCTTAGGTAGGGCAGTTAGGTTTCCAGGCCATCTGAACCCCAGTCCACGAAGGCAGCAGTCAGTTATCACAGCAGACATCTCCTTCTCCCCTTGGTGACACACAAGTCAGGGAGGGGTGTCGGGTGAAGTCCCTTGGCCTTGCTTATTGCAGGATGAAACATATTTGTGTTGTCCCTCTCCGTTTCCCCTAACTGATGAAATGGACCTATTCTGAATACTTTCTATTGAAAAACCAGCCAGTGTGAGGGAAATGGGAGGCCAGAGATTAAAATCCTTTGAAAAGATTGTGAAATACTGATTTTCATTCTTTCAAGCATATTTGTAAATACCTATTTGAATGCTGTGTATTTGTACAGGAATTTGAGCAAAAAATGTATAGAGTGTGATGTCTAATTGGTAATAAGCCCTATAAATGTGTTTTTAACCTCTGGCATTCTGTGCTTATTTAAAACAAGAAAACTTCTAACCATTTCCTTTGTGTATTCATGTCTAAAGAGAAACTGATTTTAAAATGATCTTACCTGTACCAGAAAAGTTAAAGAAAAAAAATTGTGCCGGTGTCCCAAGAGGTATTTTACTGTATATATTGTGGTAGCATGTTATAAATCCAACAAGTAATGTGAATTTTAGATGTAAATATCTGCCAATTGACTCCGCACTCCCTTGACTGCTGTGATGTGAATTAAAGATGAATACCTGATACTGATCCACTGATTTCACTGACTGGGAGCATAAGTGCCCCTCTCAAACCCTTGTCGCCGGGCTCCAAGCCCTTTTAGCTCCAGATACCTTTCTGTACTTAGCCGGCCGTTCTCCGTATTCTGCCCTCGAGGGCGAGTGGCCAAGTCCTTGCACTTAGTAGGAGTGCAGTCCAGGCAGTAACATCTCCAGTTCCCATCTGCGCGTCTCCAAGAGTGGGACATAAAACCTCCCAAGATCCCCTGGCCTCCACTGGGAGGCCATCCCAACGCCTCGGCTCGCCTGGCCGCTGCCAGGGCCCTCGGAGGTCCAGGACAGCAGCCGACTTTCACAGGCCTGGAGCCTTTCGTCTGGGAGGTTCTGCATTCCGACCCAGGAGAGGAGGGGTGTGGGCAGCCGGCGAATGAAGGTGGACGCTCTCCAAAGATTGGTTCGCCAGTACACGTGGTGGCTCAAAACAACCGTTTCTGATCCTTACTCGCGCCGCTTATCCTGCTGGGTGTCAGGTGACACCAGAAATCCTGCGCTAGGAGTCCGGGGCCCGGGAGGGGACTGGGTGTGACACGAGCCAAAAAGGGGTCCTGGGTACGAGTCACCAGATTCACAGGGTTCCCAGCAGCAGCCAAAGCAGCTGCCCCTACCCAATATGGCGGCCGCGCGGCTTCCGCCCAGCCGCTTTCTATGGACCGCCCAGGCTCAATCAGCAACCGACAACTGTCTAGGGTCCAGCCGCCACAGCCAATGAGGAAGGGTAGCGTGGAGCCGCCGGCCTGGGCTCCGGGGCACGTGGACCAATGAGAATGCGGCATGTGGGTGGGCGCGGGGGCCGCCCGCCAATGGGGAGCTCCGGCTTGTGTCCCAGCCCCCTAGGCGGCGCACGGCGCCGGGTGCGGTTCATTCGCGCGGCGGCGGCGGCGGTAGCGGTGGTGGTGGCGGCTGTGGCGGCAGCAGAGGAGATGTGGGCTACGCGCGGGCTGGCGGTAGCGCTGGCCCTCAGCGTGCTGCCTAACAGCCGGGCGCTGCGGCCAGGCGACTGCGAAGGTACGGGAGGGGGCGGCCAGGCGGCGCTGAACCCAACGGAACCGAGGGGGCGGGGGCTCATCCTGGCGGGGTCCGCTGGAGCGAGGGCCTCGGAATTATTAACCGGGCCTAGAAACGGACTCGTTTAGGGGAAAGCGTCGGCTCAGTCGCGTTGAAAACTTGGCCGGAAGCCCACAAACGCGGGAGTTTTTGTCCTTTTTCATCACTGTTTAAAGATTCCGGAAAGGGACCCCGTGGGCCGCAAAGGCCTCCTGGGTTTGCCAAGCCGCACTTGAGGGTTCGGTGTTGTACTTGGAATAAGGAACATTTTGATCGTTTGCTTCAGCCTCCAATCTGTCCCTTTTGAGGTCACAGTGAGTTCCCTTTCAAGGACACGTGTCCACTCTCGGCTTAAACTTGTAAAGAGCAGAGAAGATTGTGTGTGGGTCACTGGGGTAATGTTCATTCCCGGCATGCACTGGGTATTAGGACCCCAGCAACCTAAGGGTTCTGTGCACCTGTGAGTACCTGAGAAAAACCAATGATGGGAAACGTTTTAATGATCATCTCATCCCTTCCACCAAAACTGCTGACAGAGTTTCCTCCTGGCGAAGTAAAGACTAGTGATTGCTTAACATTTCTCTTTCTTCTTTTCCAGTTTGTATTTCTTATCTGGGAAGATTTTACCAGGACCTCAAAGACAGAGATGTTACATTCTCACCAGCCACTATTGAAGAAGAACTTATAAAGTTCTGCCGTGAAGCAAGAGGCAAAGAGAATCGGTTGGTGAGTAGCTGGTGACCCATCCAGGCTCTCCCTGGCTCATGTGTACTGTCCACTTCGTCATGGGACATGTCTGTAAACTAATGCGAGACTGAAGTCTTTTTAGCCTGTATTTATTAAGCATCTACTATGAGCTGAGTATTGGTAGTGCCAGAAGAGAACAGTGACAGGCAGATGCACAGCAGGGAAGGGTGTGTCTGTGAAGAAAATAGACTAGGAGAGTTTGGGGGGGTGGGGGGGGGGTATTAGAGAAAGTAGTCAGAGGTATCCTGAGGAAGGGGATCCATCAGTGGAGTGAGTGCATCCAGTGGATGAGTGCAAAGGCCAGAAAGAGTTTGGTGTGTTTGGGATCAGAAGTAGCTAGCTAGGTGCCCCAACGTGGCCAGGGCCAAGTCAGCGGCAAGAGCCCTAGTAAAGCATCGGCCTTTGTAGCTTTAATTTCTCTGGCAGTCTCTCATTGGAACTCTGATGGTTCTTAAACTCATCTGGAAACTCTGGGACTTAGCACATATCAAGTGCCTAGAGTTCACAACAGCTAGATCTGGGCAGGTCCTTAAAACATGAGGCCCTGGCAGAGAGAAGTTTTCGAGGTGACCTAATGGCAGCTGTTGTCTGGAGTTGGAGAGGTGGTTGTGAAAGTGGACTGCTCTTGCAGAGGACCTGAGTTTGGTTTCCAGCACCCACAACACTGCTAACCCTGGCTCCGGGAATCCAGTGCCTTCTGACCTCCTCGGCACCTGCACACACGAGAACTAGACATGCACATAAATTCTCCTTTAAGGCTTTTGTTCTTTTTTTGCTACAGTGCTACTACATCGGGGCCACAGATGATGCAGCCACCAAGATCATCAACGAGGTGTCCAAGCCCCTGGCCCACCATATCCCTGTGGAGAAGATCTGTGAGAAACTGAAGAAGAAAGACAGCCAGATCTGCGAGCTAAAATATGGTGAGTGTGACCAGGACTGTGTGCCTCCTGCGATGTCTGCGTGCCCTTCTGGGCTTGCTTTCTAGCCAGAAAAGTCATCGTGAGGGTTTATAGCATGGATGATATTCTGCTGCAGTTCAGACTTCCATGTCAAAGCTAGGTGGAGGTCAGAAGTTGAGAAGGTGAGTTGTTAGCTTACTTCGAAAGAGGGAGGAGACCAGGGGGTGGTGGCGGCGCACACCTTTAATCCCAGCACTCAGGAGGCAGAGGCAGGTGGATCTCTGAGTTCCAGGCCAGCCTGGGGCTACAGATTGAGTTCCAGGGAAGGCGCAAAGCTACACAGAGAAACTGTCGCCGAAAGAAAGAAAGAGGGAGGGAGGATTAGCCAAAAGGCCAGCTAATAGCACAGTGTAGACACAGAGTATAGAGAGAAATGTAATACATAAGGTAGATGAGTTGGATAGGGCCTTGGGGTTTGGTGAGAAATGTGGCTTTTAGTCTGAGTGAAGTTGGGAGCATCAGAAACTTTTGAGCAGAAAAGTGATGTAATGAGACTAGAGTTGAACAGACTTGTCATGGCTGTATTTCTGATGGCCCTAAAACCTTTCGCCCAAGAGTAATGAGAGTCACAGCATCACCATGGCAGAGCCCATCTCATTGAGAAGAGCTAGGCCTCTCCCATACAGTTTAAACCATGCCAGTGTTGTCCAAGAACCTTGTGTTTATGGTGTGTGCTTGTGCTAATTTGGTACCCTGGTTGGTTCTGATACAGGTCTGTCTGGGTTATATGGGTTATGGAGTAAGCTTTGACTCTGGTGCCTTGATGGGGACACAGGAGACATGTCTGCTCTGTCACCAGCCTGGAACTGTCATTCTGTGCTGACATGTTAGAAGGTCCTTGGGGAACTGGAGCTGTGTTTCTCCTCTGGACCATGTGGGTTCTCTGCACTGCATGTCCTGTAGTGGACACTGACAGCCTGAGGTGGCCCTCTTGGTGAAGAATGCCATTTCCTCTTGGCGCAGTATGCATATGTCTCCCCTGCTGCAAGTAGGGCTGCTCCTCCTAAGGAATGGTTTGGAGCAGCCCAGCTGGGGGCCGCAGCATCAGCCACCCAGCCACTCACTCTCCTGCTCTCCCTGCAGACAAGCAGATTGACCTGAGCACAGTGGACCTGAAGAAGCTCCGGGTGAAAGAGCTGAAGAAGATCCTGGATGACTGGGGGGAGATGTGCAAAGGCTGCGCAGAAAAGTCCGACTATATCCGGAAGATAAATGAACTGATGCCTAAATATGCCCCCAAGGCGGCCAGTGCACGGACTGATTTATAGTCTGCCCAACCCCTGCTGCACCTGAGGGGAAAACAGTTCTCCTGTCTCTTCCCCAAACAACCATTTTGTAATTTATTTTTGAAGTGGGCTCCTGACAATGACATGTGAAGCCTGGAGCTTTCCTAATGACGCTGGCCCTGCGGTGCCCCCTCCCCGAAGAGGGAGGGATTTCCTTCCTTCTTTTGCTGGTTTACTCTAGGACTTCCAAGTTTGTCTGGGATTTTTTTATTAAAGGGAAAAAAAAAATCTGTCTTTGGAGAGTTGAACTGAAACAGGATTGTGTCCTGTAATCTACTGGTTTACCTTTCCAGGCTGCAAAAGTCCCCTGGCCTGCCAGTGCCAGAAACTCCCATAACAGGATTTAGGGGCATGTAGCAGCCAAAGTGTGGGTTCTGGGCTTCAGAGTAATGTGTACTTCAGCCCAGTGAAGAGCTGGACTTGACATGCCCTGCCTTCAAACCCCCATCCAGAACAGTCCAGTAGGAGGAGCTGAAGGTGGAGCCATCACTGGGCTTAAGTCTAAAGCATATTACATTTTGGCTCAGCATATGCAGAACAAGCAGAGAATTTTCTCCACTGAGTACGGGTGGTCAGAATTGGCATTTCTTCATTCCACCTGGTACTTAGTTATCCTTTCGTTGGGGTCCCAGTCTAGTTCAGGTGTGAACAAGGCCCCTTGCATGCTTCCATTTTTGCAAGTTTGGCAGGAATCGGTTTACACAGAAGCAGTGTGAGGACGGTAGGAGTAGAGGCCCTCGAGCTGTGTGCAGTCTGGTTTCCAGTTGCTCTGTCACTGGTTCTTGGCAGTGCCTCACTGGGGACACTTCGCTCCTGCTGTCCCCAAACGTGAAAGGAATGACTGCTAAGTTGTGTTTTCCATCCGCAGCGGTGGCGCATGCCTTTAATCCCAGCACTCGGGAGGCAGAGCCAGGCAGATCTCTGTGAGTTCGAGGCCAGCCTGGTCTACAGAGTGAGTTCCAGGACAGGCACAGAGCTACACAGAGAAACCCTGTCTCGGGGGAAAAAAAAAATTCCAAAGAGCTGGTCTGGTCTTAGCTCACTTGTGTAGTTCAGTTTGTCAGTTTGCATCCACGGGGCCTTAGATCCTGCCATGGAGCTCACTGCTGTTTATTCCAAGTTCTCTTCTGCACCTGTCTCCTGCCAACTGCTTTCTGCCTGTGGGAGGAGGGAAGAGCTGGGTGCACTCTTCCTCATCCTACAGATACTTCAACGGATCCAGCAACCATCTGTGGAGAACATAAACCCCCAGCGGCATCTGGGTACCCTTGCCTGTACTTCACCTCCTGGATATAGACAGAACACAGCCAGCAAGATGTCAGCATGGCAAGAAATGATAACTTCTGGCATTACCTGCTCTTTACCCTTTGCTCTGCAGACCTATCTTTCCCGCCTCCTGTCTGCCCAGAAACCTCCAGCAGAAAGTTGGACCCAGGGACACCGAGATGCCTGTCTATAGGTTGCAAATGCAGTCTTCCTAGTTTCTGTACCTGGATCCAGGAAGGTCTCACCTGCGTCTGTAGTCTTCTTTTCAGGGTCTTGCCAGGACAGTGCCTGAAGAATCTAAATTCAGAAGATGCCTGGGGTGTGGGTCCTGGACAGGGTGTAGGGATCCTTCAAGGATGTCACCTCTGTCATGGTCCCAGTTAGAAAACGCCATGGAGGGGGAATAGGATTTCAACCTAGCGGCAGGTTTGAGTGGGAGACCGCCGGTCAAGTGGGCGGGCATTCCTGTTGCAATGGGCACAGCCCCGAGCCCGGAAAAAGTAGGCAGACCCGGTGTAGCCAGCCGGAGAGCACAAAGCCCAAGTCCAGCGGGGCCCGCCTTGCTCCTGAGGGAATCCGGGCACAACGCAGTAGCCCCGCGCCTAAGCCCCACCAGCCACGCCGGGGCGCCAGAGCTCCGGGGCAGGCCAGCTCCTCCGCCTGCCGGGCCGTCACGTGGTGCAGCTCCGCGGGGCCCAACCAGAGGCGCCGAGCGGAGCTCTCGCCCCGCCCACCTCGGTCACGTGGTGCGGCCGGCGCACCTTGATAACGCAGCTCC